ACCCCCCCCCCCCCCCCGTCCCCCCCACCCCCCCCCCCCCCGCCACATTCACCTCCACCTCCGCCACATTCACCTCCACCACCTAATTCACCACCTCCACCACCTAGTTATCCTCCTCCGCCAGTTTTTCACTATCCTTCGCCGCCTCCCCCACCCAATTCACCACCTCCACTCCCTTGCATCGAGCCTCCACCGCCTCCTCCACCTCCATGTATAGAACCACCATCACCTGCTGCATCACCACCCCCTCCTCAATCACCGCCACCATCTCCCATACCTTACTTTCCACCATCATCGCCATCACCCCCTCCACCTTCACCACCTTACTCTTCACCTCCCCCTTACTACCGTCACCTTACCAATATAAATCTCCACCCCCACCTTCTCCATCACCACCTCCACCATCACCCCCACTTCCTTGTGAAACTCCTCCCCCACCTTCACCACCAGTATACGAAGGTCCATTGCCACCCGTAATCGGAATCTCATATGCATCCCCTCCACCTCCTACTATCCCATACTACTGATTCTTTGAGAATCACCCTCAACTTTTCCCTTCACTCCATCCAAAAGCAAAGGCATTTGTTCTTTAATTTGTTTTAAGCTCTTATCATCCATGTCTATTATTGTTGTGGTGATGGAGAACTGTAAAGCAAAAACAAAAACATTCAATACTGTTCTTTTGTGATGGCGATACTAAATGGAACTAAAATCTGCTGCAAATTGAGAAGAGGAAGGCTGGCATTGAGGGTCGAAAATTCTCTCCTTATTTGTTTTTTCTCATATTATGGGTGTTGCTTGAGTTGTGAATAAGCTGCTGAAAGAGGGAGGAGATTATTTAGATGCCGAAACATGAATGTATAGCGTATATGAGATTTCCGGTGGATCATTTGTGGTACTATCCCTCTTCTTCTATACTTTGATTTATTTCATTTCATAAATGATTATGTTTACTTAAAACTCTCTCTTCTTCCTCATTAATTTCTTCAACTGATTCATATCTTGTGCTTTTTTGATGAGTTTTTTTTTTTTTCTTTCTAAGAAGTGATTAAAGTAGCTTTAGTTCTGTTCAAGAACTTTTTCGAAGCGCCCGTTTGGCTCTTTTTATGCGTGGCAACGTGGGATGACATTGGAGTGCTACAAATCTAAAATTTTGTGAGGAGATATCTGAAGGAAATTTTTTATTTCTTTATTTTCTTGAGATTGATGAATGATAAATTATAAATTATTTAGTTGAAGTTTAGCTCGGTTGGGAACCCCATCTCGAGTTCCACTCCCTGTAGTCACCCCTTTAGTGGGAGCCCCAAAGTGCCAGCTGTGGGTACATTGGCGTGGGTGGCCCAATAATTCGGTCGGGTTCGATGCAAGGAAGACGACGGTTCTTCGTCTATTTGATCTAGTATGAATTTTAATTAAGTTAGAATATTTTCACCAATTTTTATTATAATCTAAATAGTAAAGTTAAAAAAAAATGAAAAAATAATTATTTTTTTGATAAATGTGTTAATATGATGTGTTATGATTTTAAACGATTTTCTTCGGCTAATGATGTGATATAATTATGCTTTGTGATTTGCAGCTGCGTCATTCCGTTAATCACGTAGTTAATTGACTAGTTCGCCTCATCGTGCCCGTCCCTTTCAGCTCCCTTGCTTACAAATCTGCAATCACATTCGTTAAATGTCGCTTCATTGCATGCCATGATTCTCCGAATAATAATCCAAAGCAGTCTAATTGATTTGGAAAAAAAATATGGATATCATGATATGAATTATAAATTTATAATTTTATTTTAAATTTAATATTTTTAGTATATTAATATTAAAATAAATGCAATAATAATTTTTTTTTCAATTCATTTTATATCAAACTAATATTTTATAAATTTATGCAACTGAAAGATGGGTTATTAGTATGATTTAATTTTTTTCATATTTGTATCAAGATATTTTGAGATTAATGATATATATCAAATCCTTATGTTGCATTAATTTGAATATAAATTCAATTATATTTAAATTTATTTTATTTATAAATTATATTGGAATATTCTTTTTTTATTATTTTTTATTTTAATAAAAATATTCATGTTCTGACAATAAGATTATTTTTGAAAAAAAGAAAACATTATTGGTCTTCTTGTGCAAATAGAAATGTTAATGAATGGGTTGTGAATTGTGATTATATTCTAAACAAATAAGTTTTCATAAATTAAGTTAGAGCCAATCTCTTGGGCCTAATTGATGGCCCACTTCTTCCTGGGCCGAGAAGACCCACCATTTTAATGGGCTTACACATTTTAGTCTGTAGTACAAATATTAATCCTTAGCAGATAAGTTTGCATAAATGAAAGTTCCGGAAAGATAACCAGCTTTCATGGGTCTAATTAATAGACCACTTCTTCTTGGGGCCTAGAGGATGCACCATGCTAATGGGGTTAGATATTTTAATCTAACGATCTAGCTTTATCTATTAAAGAAGCGTCAAATAAGATTTCTTTTCGGAAGAAATTATTTCGTGTGCTCGTCGGACTGTCTAGAGATGAATCAGAATATGTCACATTACCTGGTACACAGCAGTACACAGTATCAGTACACAGCAAAATGATGATGTGATGGGTTATGAGTCACCTCTAGATGACGTCCGATGAATGCACACAATAATTTCTCTCTTTTGGCACAACACTTTTTTAATTTAATTTTTTTTTTACAATAAAAATAAAAATAATTAGAAGCTATGCTAAATTAAGAATAAATGAGAACATATTTTATTGTTTATCATTTCCATAGAAATTCAAACGTTTCATCTTTAAAGGTAGAAACTAAGAAAATCTTTTTATAAAGAAATATTTGATTTACTTAAGAGAAAATGAAAAGTTAAAACTTATTTTTCATAAAAAAATAAATTTTAAAATATATTTTCTAAATATAATATAACTTAAGCCACAACATCTCCAATATTATAAAATATAATACATAATTTTAATATTTCTATTTTGTTCTATTTAATGAATTTTTATAGTTTCTATTTCTATTTCATATATAGAAAAACTTATTTTCTTAACTTATGCTAATAATTTATAATATCTTCTTGCTATATTTTTCTTAATTAAAATTTAGATACTTAATAAATTTAAATATATTTTCTTATTTTATCACTACAAAAAATAAATTTATAATTATTTAACTTTTTAAATATTTAGTTAATTTGTGCAATTAAATTATCTAAGAATCATATATCAGCTAATGTCTAAAAAATTACCATCTTTCCCTTCTTTTCCGCCCTCGCTTCCTTCCAAAAAGGTTCCATTTCTACACGATTTATTCCATCGGCTCTTTTTCTTGGCAATTTAGATGGCGATTTCAACGCTTATGTTAACTTCCCTCTTCTCCTTCGCGGTAGCGACCGCGATCGCAGATGCGGCGACATTCAATGTGACGGAAATGGCTTTCGATGATGAATACCTACCATTGTTCGGCGAGCGCAACCTCCTGCGCTCCGCCGACGGACGGACAGTCAAGATTCTCCTGAATCAACATTCAGGTAAGCAATTTCAGTATTTCACCCTCTGATATCTCATCACCATGTCTGATTGCACGATCTTGTATTACAGGGTCAGGATTCATTTCTTCGAACTTGTATTATCACGGTTTGTTCAGTGCGTCGATAAAGCTCCCGTCTGCATACACTGCCGGCGTCGTAGTCGCATTCTACGTATGATTTATTTATTTATTTTTAAAATGAGATAAATTTAAATAATAATAATAATAATAATTTAGATGTCGAATGGGGATATATTTGAGAAGAATCATGATGAACTGGACTTGGAGTTTTTGGGCAATCTTTGGGGAAGAGAATGGAAGGTTCAGACCAATGTGTACGGGAATGGGAGCACAAGTCGGGGACGAGAGGAACGGTATCGACTTCCTTTTGATCCGACGGCTGAGGCTCACCGTTACTCTATTGTTTGGACTAATACCACAATCATGTACGCACGAATCTCCATGCAATGAACTTTTATTTTATCCGGTCACCTGACGTAGCTCTACGTTCGGACGTCAATAAAATAGTGCCACATGTTCTCACTATTTACAATGCGGCCCGACAACCCCAACCGGAATGGAGACTGGATTGCTATGTTCGCGTGTTGCTAGGTATTGCTCAGTATTGGTCGATTTTGCTCGGCAATAACGAGAAATATCATTCTGTGAAGACTAATACCGAGCAATACCGAGAAAAACCGACCGGTATTGCTCTTCACAGAGCGATATTTTTCATTATTGCCAAGCAATACCGAGCAATACCTAGAGCAATACCAAGCAATACGCGAACATAGCAATCCCAGGTCAAGTCGTCGGGCCGCACAATATTGAGTAAGACCAAGTAGCGACATGTTATTAATTGGCTTCCGAACATAGAGCTACTTGTCAGGTCGCTTATCTAATAATTGTTCCCATGCAATCGCCATTAAAACAATCTCACACTACTGCTAATTGATTATATTTTCTTAATCAAATATTGATACAGATTTTACGTCGATGAGATTCCGATAAGGGAGGTGGTGAGAAGTCCGGCGATGGGCGGCGACTACCCATCAAAGCCCATGCTAATCTACGCCACCATCTGGGATGGTTCCAACTGGGCCACTTCCGGCGGAAAGCACAAAGTCGACTACAAATACGCACCTTTCGCCAGTGATTTCTCTGAGCTCATCCTCAAGGGCTGTCGTCTTGATCCCATACAGGAGTTGCCTGCGCATGCGCAGTGCCATGAGCAGGAGCTCGATATTGCTGTTGCAGACTACTCGGTGATGACAGAGCAGAAGCAGAAGGCCATGATGCAGTTCAGACGAGAGTACATGATCTACAGCTTCTGCTACGATGAGTTGAGATATCCATCCACCTTTCCTGACTGCAAAATCGTGGAGGAGGAGAAGGAGAAGTTTGGAAGGACAGGGCATGTTATGCGACGTCCGTCGTCAAAGCCTGAAGTAATGAAGGCAGCTCTGCCTGTGCGCAAACGAAGGCCGAAGAGACGCAATCAAGCCAGGAGTAGAATTATCATTAGTGAAACAGCCGAAATATGATTATATGTTTGTAGATCGATGTCTTTATTTGAGATTGTTTACTTACTGTTTCATAGTATGATGATTATTGATAATTATAATTAATTGTTCAATAATGATTTTCTTTTTGAATAATTTGTTATCTTGTTTAACTCATTTAATGTAGAGAAAACATAGTTTGCTGTATAAATTGGTGATTCTTATATCATACTGTGACTAATTTAAGTTTACTTATTCTTTTTATTTGGGCTGTATTTGAGTAGTTTGTAGTTTTTTTTTTCCACTTCATTGGTCTGAGTTGAGTAAATTAATTTTATCACATCAGTATCCAATGCATGCATGAAAGGAAATATAATATGTATGCCTGTCAATCTATCAACACATCATATATAAGATTGTGCTGATGGTTTTACTCCATACAATCAAGCATTTTTCACCGTATTCTTATTAGTCAGTTATACTAACACTATACAACCTTTTCACCAGTGATGTATATGACTACTCCGTACATGTTCTTAAAATTTATAATACCTGAACCACAAAATCCAAAAGAAAAAATTTATATATTTTTTTTATAACCATTAATTGATAATCTCAAGTTCTTATAAAAAAAAATCCCCACATATAACATCTCAATCAAATCTCAACCAAATAACATTTTTTCCTTAGAGCTGCATTGCTTTAGACCATTGACGATTTTCCAACTTATGGTTTGTTATCCGGCTGGAGCACAACAGGAAAATTAACTTGTCCTTACTAATAGCTCCATCAACCTATCCTTACCCTCCTTACCACCACCATTATTATCACCCACCTCATGTGCTGCTAGAACATGGTGGACCATCAACACAAGCAAAGGTTGGTGGTAGAAGATAAGCGTGTATATATAGAGCTTGAAGGCGATACGTAAGTTTAATTTATTTTATAAAATTATTATAATTTAATATATATTATATATCATTGATAAAATTTTTACATACAACTTCAATCCCTTAAGGTAGCCTATTCACAAGATTCGTGATATCATACGGAGCAAATATGATGTTCCTTACTTATTATGGAAGAAGATCCCAAAGGAAGTTAGGGATACATCATTCAGAGAATTTTAAGTATATTTATTTGGCATTACTTAAATTTTTTTATTTAATTTATATTAATATTATTTATTATGTTTATATTTTACAAAAAGATTTTAGGTGGTTGCCTAAACATGGTACGAAGATCAAAATAAATTTTGAGATGAGATGCTCTACTCGTTTTAGAGACATGTTCATGAATATTAAAAAGTCTGAGCAGCGTCCATTATGGATTGAAAAGGTAGTATGGGCTGATTTGAGCAGAATTTAGGCGAGCTATTAGTTCATCAAATTGAGAGAGCAGAATAAGCAAAATAGATCGAGCATCTGATTATAGGGGTTTAGAAAGCTCTCTTCATACCGGTGGTTCAGTGCCTCAAACAAAACATAGACGATGACCGATAAAATATTATTTTAATTAGTTTCATAAATATATGTATATTATTATAACTATATTTTTTATTTGGAGAAAGAGCATCTTGGTTGGGAGACGATACCATTAGAGCTGCATATAAAGACTAACAAACATCAAGCTAATTATCACTGGGTTGATGATAAGGCGAGAAAAGCTCACATTAGTATAATTTATTGAGTGATAATATAAAATAAATAGAAATTTTATTTTATGAATTTATTCTCACAGGAAGATTTTATACGACTTCAGGATAGTCTGCAGTCTACTAATGAGAGATCATCTTCAGGATTAACCTAGTATTCTGAGTATCACACGTAGTTAGATATTTTTAGAAGAAGGCAGAGGGGGAGGGTTTATAGTTTAGGTTCACAAGGATATGCTTATGAGATTAGTATATCTACTTCAACATTTTATGATATTAATGGAGCTAAAAAAATTGTTAACTAGATGGTTGCTGCCTGACAAGAGAGATAGAGAAAATGAAAAAAAATTCAAGATGAGATGCAGGAGGAGCTGCGATCATATCGAGCTAAAAATCAGAATAAAAAGGAGCAAGAGCCTATACTTGAATCACAGGGCAGTGAGGACAAAAACAATGATTAGTTGTTGTTATTTGTTTGAAGAACTAGTTGGTGTATTTTGAACACATGGACATAAAAAAACTTGTTTTATGTTTTAAAAATTGTTTAACAAGTTGAACTTTTTATATTTTTATGTTTAAACTATCAGAGCATCTGTTAATTGTGAATGTTAGTGTATTTTATATATTATGTTTTGAACTGTCTGAGTATATGATTAAAAGTACTTATTTTGTATTTTGAACTGCCTACATATATTTGTGAAAATTTTATTTGGATAGAGGGTGCTGTCAATTTTTTGTGGCAATTGCTACATGTTTATGGGGGCTAAGTAGTGGTTTAGCCTCCAGAAACCTTTGATACCGGATGGAGGTAAAAACCACCGGTTATTTTATTTTCTTACTGGTAATAACCTGCAGCTAGCCAACGGTTTGACCGTCGGAAACGATATTTAAGTCCGAATATTTCAGCAATTTACTTGTAGTTTTGGGCCCAATATATAAGCATATTTCAACATTAAAAAAACTATTATGTTACTTAGGGTTTATGGCTGAACCAATGCACTTGAGGAATATCTTGAATTTGGCTGAGTTAACTATTGTTCAAATTCATTCACATTAATAATCAAACAAATCTGAACACTTTTTAAAACTTAGGCTAAATGAATTAAGTTTGATTACAATTCCAATTGTTTATTTATGTTCACAAACAAATTTATTTGTTATTCAATAAACAAGTTTATTTGTTGTTCAATAAGTTACTTATGAAAGACTTAATATTAAATTTAATGGTACCTCATATATTATTTATTTAAACTTTCATTAAACATAACTTATGTAATATAATATACATTTATTTACGAGTCTAAGATTACTTACCAATTCTTATCTATTATTTATATAATTCAGCCCCTCATTATTTCATGTCTTTTGTTCCACTTTATGAGTTCCACCCCTTTTACTATCCCAAATCACCATAGCTCACCTAATTGAGCTAGGATATGTAGAGGTTAAGAATCATGAGAGCATATACCTTGAAGGTGAGCATATCTTATATTCTTCGCCTTTTTTTGGGGAATGAGGGTATCTACGCTCTGCCATCCACCAAATGAGCCGCATGGCAGCGTATCTAATCCTTCGGTGGGCTTACCGGCAACCAACCCTAGATGTGTAGAGATACATAGTTATTTCTCACTATTTTAGGAGTCAAGCCACATGAGATGAATTGAACATGAGTTGGCCACACTCCCCCACCAACTCAGCTAAGCCTGGTGGGAGTTCTTCTCTTTTTCAATCAACATGTATTTTTTATATATCTAGTGAATTATAAGCACACAAATATTAACTTTATAAGCATCTTTCAACTCAAGCTATTATCCTTTCAATTTCAAGACACTATATATGTTACTGCAATCTTTTTCTTTTTCATTTTAAAGTTAGACATTATATTTATTAAAAAAAATTTAGCTCTCTGTTCAAAACAAATAGCTAATTCTCTTTCTCTCCTTTATAGAGCACAAAAATTTACTTTTATTTATCTATTTTGCAAGAAAAAAAATTTAGCTGCAAAGTAAGGTAGAACCATTTATCCGTTTTACACTTTTACCCTTTAAGTGAAGATCTGGATTAATGTCTTCGCACTGTCGTGTCGTCAGCTGATCTTCTTCCTTCTCAGTCCTTCCCCTTTTCTCTCTCTCTCTCTCTCTCTCTCTCTCTCTCCATAGATCTGAAAAACTAAGCCAGGGTATTCCTGGCGGAGGAAAGAACCCGAGTGGTTGCTTCTGTTCTTGCTAGAGTGTCACTGTCAAGAAGTTCTAAAAATTGTCAACTGACGAGCTAAGAAAGCCCTTTTCATATCATCAGTCGGAATCATCTTTTCGTTCGCGGCAGTTTCTCCCGTCATTGTTGCTTTCAGGAAAGCTTAGTAGCTGGAGACTAAGTTTTTAGCTACAGAGCCTCAGAATTGCTGAATGCCGCCCTATCATAAGCAACAAACGGTGATATCAGTGATTTGCTTAGTATTTGGTTAAAAAGGTTTGAAATTTGTATTGTTTGGGGCTTATTGCGAGTTTTCTACTGCATGAGAAGTTGGCATGGATGATATTAGCGGAAAAGGGGATGTCCATGGAAATTTGCCGGGGCTGAATTTGATACGTGGTCCTGGAAGCTTGAAAACCTCTCTTTCCGGTAGATCTGGTGCCAGGAACTCACCTTCTTTCCGAAGGTTGCAATCCAGTAGAACTCCCAGGCGAGATTTGAGATCTGGCTCCGGAAGTCTGCAGTGGATCAGGAGCAATCGAGTGGTATTTTGGTTGTTGTTGATTACTATGTGGGCTTATATTGGGTTTCATGTGCAGTCGAGGTGGGCTCATAGTGACCACAGTAAGAAAGAATTTGTTGGTTACAAGGGTGAGGCTGTCGGTGTTAAAAATCAGGAAGATGCAGCAAAAGAATTAAATTCTCTTGGATCCAAACCCCAAAATTTGGTTGTGAAGGAACCAACAATTGTTAAAAACAAGAAAATTTCTGATTCAAGTGATTCTAAGTTACCTGTAAGAAGTATTTCAAGGATAGTAAAGAGTTCTTCCAGAAAAAGAGGCAGAAGGATGCTAAAGAAGGTGACACCAAAGACTCCCGCGGTGGTGGTGGAGAATACAGAGAATGAGTCGGACGATGCTATTATTCCAAAAAGAAACACTTCATTTGGATTGATGGTTGGGCCATTTGGGGATGTTGAGGACAAAATTTTGGAGTGGACTCCTGAAAAACGCAAAGGAACATGTGATAGAAAAGGAAGATTTGCAAAGATTGTCTGGTCACGTACAATCATATTGATTTTTCATGAGCTCTCAATGACAGGTGCTCCACTATCAATGATGGAACTGGCTACAGAGCTTTTGAGCTGTGGGGCATATGTGAAGGTTGTGGTTCTTAGCAAGAAAGGTGGCTTGATGAGTGAACTTGATAGGAGGGGCATCAGTATACTTGAAGACAAAGGGGAGATTAGCTTCAAGGCTGCCATGAAAGCAGACCTTGTTATAGCAGGATCAGCTGTCAGTTCATCCTGGATTGGTAAGGTGCTTCTACTGAAAAGAATGTTTATTTTCCTTGCGGATTATGTTATTATTTTAATTCCCATGCTTTTACTCAAGAGAATGCCTACAAATGCATCTTCAAGGGCTTGAACATCCTTGCCATCAATTTTGTCAACCTTCACATTCTTCAAGGACTTGAACATCCTTGCCATCAATTTTGTCAAACTTCACTTTCTTATCTTGAGACTCCATCCCACATTTCCTGTATACCTGCAAAGTATAGATCTAATACCCGTTGTTAGGGAATAGTGCACGCACGAGAGAGCAATGAAAAACAAGTGTGCAAAAAAAAAAAACTTTAAGAAAATGCCCTTGAAAATAAGGGATAAAATCATAAAAATTATATTGTTAGATGAAGTTCTCCAGTATCATGGGATATACTAAGAGACAGTTTTCACTAGTTTTAGCAGCGAGTATTGCGCAATCATATTCAACCATTTTGTCACACCTATGGATTATTTTAGTTTTACATTCTTCAGTGAGTCACACCTATGAATTTTTGAAAGGAAAGTCAATAAGCTTTCCCATCGTATTGTAAAAATGAATATCATTATTTGATTGTCAACTACAAATGCATGGTTTAGGCCTCCTTATTCAATGATTTCTTCATAAATATATTTCAAACTTTATCAAGTACATTCTTTTCTTTGTTGACCTTTTAGCTTCAAAAATTTTCTCTCGGAGTTTGAGGGGTAGTTATGTTTGAAAGTCAATCACCTAAGGGGCTACTCTTTTTTTTTTGTGGCTTATAATATAATCACCTAAGGGGCTACTTGAATAAGTGTAAAAGGTTGAACCCTAAACTCAAATTCTCCTTTTGTGATATGATTTGCATTTCATGCGAGAAGTCGACTTTAGAAGCAATTCTAAGAGTTACACCATGTGATTGCAAAGAATCTCGCTGATGAAATATCCTTCCACTAAGGAATGGCCTAGTGTGATGAAGGAAGACTTAAGTAATCACTACAAATTGCCAATTATAAAACAAATTGAATAAATAGATTTCTTAATAAGCCAATGCCAATGCTATTATGATAGTAGCTACTTCATTCCTATGTAAGCACAAGCATAATGAGGCAAGAAATATACAAAGTAAAAGTGAATTTTATTTCATTATCAGAAAAGATTTATAAAGCCGCATGCTTGTTTTGTACATTTGCTAGGCTTCAAAAAGGGATACAAATAAAAAGTATATATTCTTTGCTTTTCTCTTTCTCTTGGAATGTGAGTCAAGTACTTGAGTAAAAACTTACTCAACAACGCTATAATAGGAAGTTGAGGCAAAATAGAAATGTTGAAATAATAACTAAAAAAATGAAGATTAAGTCTATTGGCTTCTTCCTCATCATCATTGGTATATTTGATGTCCTTGCAGGATATATCAAGATCAATGTTTGCAGGGGAAAGTAGTTAACTCTTTAAAAGTTTCTTCAAGCACTGGACAATTCCTCTATCAAATTAATTGGAAATTGCATTCATATATTATGTTGAACTCATGATCCTCTCTATTAAGTTGTCTTCATCTGGAACTTCAGTGGACTTTGTTTTCAAATTATTGATTTTCTCGATAAATTGGGACTTACGTGACCTTGAGCGTTAATTTCTCTTCCATCAATTTTATTTTCTAGGCCTCAAAAAGATATTCTCTTTAGCAAACTTAGTCTTTTTGGCTTGAAAAACTGACATGGAAAAAAAAAAGTTTAGCTCTCATATATTATTCAGTAAACATGCCACCAATCATGCAACAACATAATTAGTGGAATCATGATACAAAATTCTTATCAGGCAATGAGTTTTAACTCCTCCCTTGACTCAATGCTTACTTTTCTTTTGATATTATAAGCTACAAGGCTACAAATGATGTTGCTTTCAATTTTTTTGTCATTTCAAATATTATGCTCTGATTGCTTTCTTAATTTTTATGTATGATTTATAAATTATAATGATGTATTCGCGCCGTACCCGTATCCTGTATTTTTAAGAATTGACGTGTCCCGTATTCGTATCGTGTTGTATCCGCGTCGCCGTATCCGTATCGGTGCAACATAGGTGGCTAATTAATTGTTTAATCTGATAGTGGTATTATTAACTTGTATCAACTTCTGTGACTTCTTGTTAAGCAAATTTGAGAAATTCTTGGAGACAACCAAGTCCTTTATATGATAAGAAGCTATGAAAAGAGAACCCCCACACTCAAAATTGGAGTTTGCTTTCTCCTCGTTCTCTTTTTTAAATTTTCATTAGTTTTGTTCAGTGGCAACTCAGGTTTCCTCTTTTTATTTATCTCTGTCTCTAGCTTAACAAACAAGGATGACATTTCTTGGGTCCATTCTACACATGTCTTCTTTGCACCTCTTCCATCTTCTTAAAGGATTCACATTGGCTCTTTACTTCTCATCTGAGCTTGGAGTATCACTTGATAAGCAAAATGTGTACTCCTAATTAATTGCCTTCTACACAGTAGAAAAGTGCACAACCTCATAAGGAGGTTCTCCAAGCATTTCCAATTAGCCCTGAGGAAAATTATTGAACCCAAGTCGAAGACGTCAAGCTTGATAATGTAACCAATCACCAACAAAATCCAATCACCAACAAAATGAATACTAGCCTTCTTACAATCATTTTTCTGTTTGAGTTGTTGATATTTCTAAAGAACATTAGCATACCATAATAAGGGTACAAAACTCATTGTCACACTCCGGGTCCGGAAGGCGGTGCACCTCGGCAACACGGTACGTGATGAAACATAACCCCTATATATACCTCTCATCACTTCTGAAACATAAACCCTTCACCATTCTCTCCTGTAGCTCCTTCTTGGTGAGCTTCTTGAACTTTCCCCCTATTCTCCCTCCTACAGTCTTCTCCTTCGGAGTCTTTTCAGGAATACCTGGTGTCGGTCTCTTGGATACCAAAAAGGTGATGGTCATTCTGTAGGAGCCTCCTGAACTGCTATCTCTGGTCCCCTTTCCAGGTGCTTTTGGTCCTTCACTAACTGGGCTGGCTCCATAGCCTCTCCCAAATCACGAGGCCTCATCACTCTATTTGCGGCCCAAATCTCTGGTTTGAGCCCTTTCATAAAGTTCCCTCCAATACAGTCTCCGAACGGATCATAAATTAGAACACAAACCTAACCCGTTTGTAAATAAGACACTACCCAGAGATTTTGCCCTCATTTAGTGAGGACTTTATAATCTGAGTTCTGGTTTCCTATAGGCGCAAGCCCCTATAGTTAATTACCCCTCCCGATAACGAGAGAGAACTTTCGATTAAGGCTAGTCGTCAATTAGATACGTAGAGAATACGTAGTATCTGTCTATAGTAGCAGTATTGAGTATTGAGATTTGCATGGTCAAAGTTTGAAAATTTTGATATTTAAAATTAGAAAATTTCACCATCTCATACTTAAAGCAGATGGTGGGGGAATAGATGATGGACCCGATTAAGATCCCATGATTTTGTCGTCCGGGCCATCGTGGTCCCTGGTCTACTTAGTCAGAGGAGGTAGTCGACCCAACCTGATAGAAGGATCCTTGTCGACAGCCATGGGTTGCTTCGTCCAAGGGGACCTTATAGACCTGGTTGGATATTTGCCTAAGGGGACAAATTTGAATCCACCTTAGCTAACATAGAGCTTTGTGCCATATCGATCAATATCCTATTAATTCATATATTAAGGATTTGATGTCAATAAGGAACGTATTGGCTCTGGCCATAACCAGTATATCGTGGTGCCATTTGGTGGCAAAACCACTCGGTTCAGAGGGCCTCGGGTCATAACCGTTTATCCTGCAGTGCCATTTGGCGGTTTTGTTAGAGGATACGTACCACGTCTTTACTGGAAGGAGATTGTTTGAGAATTGATCCTAGTGATATTTTCAACCAGGCATTAGCTATATGTGAGCTGAAGTTTTATTTGAATTTGTTCACCTCGGCAAAATGTTGCGGAGGGTGGATGGATTTTACTTTAAGTGTTTGATGGATTTATTTCAATTTTAAATATTTTTGGATTTTGCGATTTTGAGGATTTCTGTGGAGTTTTGGATTTTGATGGGCATTTGGATATTTGAAAGACATTTGAAAATATTTGTGAACTCCTCCGGTTGAGATAAACATTCAATACGGCCATCATCAGAGTATTTGGGAGGGCATTTTTATTTGTATCTTGAACCTTGTCGACTTTGTCTGGCTGTCAATAGAGGATCGGGTTTCTTAGGCTTTATGCATTTGTTAGTAAATTCTCTTGATTATAGACCTTGAATGTCTAATATGAATATATTAAAACAAATGCACCGGTCGCCACAACCGTGTATTTATTTGATAGTTCGAACCTTGTCGACTCCTATTGATCCACTTAGGAGGATCGGGTTCGAACTTGAATTCACTTATTGATCCGCGAAGCATCCCTGGATGTCACATGTGTACCAATAATACGCTCCCCGGGGCCCATGCGGGTGTTTGGGGGCATTTTATAATCATTTGCTGAATCTTGTCGACTTCACTTACATGTTTACGAGGATCAGATTTAACTTTATTGACCCGCGCAGCATCCTTAGACGTCACGTGTTTTTCAATAACACGCTCGCCGAGGCCCATGTGGGTTTTATGATTGCTTTTACCCCTTTTTAGTGTACCTATGTGTATACAAACTATGGTGTATGTGCAGGGGTATTCTGGAAATATTTGATGCTACATGGTTGTGCTAGCTACCGATAGTTGAATGCAGTAACACTCCATTTGAAAGCTTATACACGCCTTCTGTTCGTTTGTAAGATGTTGCGGATCGGTGGCGTGGCATTGTAGCCTTGTGGACGCCTTCTGTCTGCTTGTATGAGTGTTGCAGATCCGGTGGCGTGACGTAGCAGCTTCTGAATTGACTTGTTCGCTGTCTTGTACAGGTAGACTTTCGTGCACTACTTGTCTCTTTCTGTAGATGGGTTATAGTGCGCTAACTAATCTCCTGTTTTATGTTTGTTA